CAAACGGTTTGACATTCAGGTGAATATTCATGTGTTCATTCAATTGGTGCGAAAGCGTAAACCGTTTGCCACAATCGGGCCAATGGCAGCCGTGCGGCCGCTCACCCGTATGCACGAGTGTGTGTTTACGTAGCGATCCATTGGGTCCCTCGTAATCACATCCGGGCCATTCGCACCGGTGTTTGACACCCGGCCGCCGGCGCTGGACATACGGCCGCCGGTTGTGAACCAAAACCTGATGTTTCAGTCGTATAGACGGAGAGTAAAACATGTCATTACAGCCGTCGGCGCCGCACTTATACGTCGGCTGAGCGCTGTGTGTCCGCCGGTGTTGAGTCAGTTCATAGACCGCTCTAAATGTCTTCTCACAGCCGCCGACATCGCATCGAAACCGTCTGTCCGTCGAGTGTGTTCTCACGTGTTGTTCCAAATACTTTTGATAAACGGCCCGATATTCGCAGCCATTGTAATCACATTGCAGAATTGCAGAAAATATTAATTTTTATTTCATATTTTTATTAAAAAGTATATAAATTAATTAAAAAATTAATTAATTAAAGTTACTTTTAATTTATAGTTACTTTATGGCAGTCATTGAAAGGCATTCAGCACTTGGTTTTAAAGGTAATAAATAAATGACTATAAAATCATGTATGCATTCATCGCTTTCCAGACAATTATCACTCAATCTCCGCATTGATCTCAACGCCAGTCCATTGCTGTCACCAAAGGGTACGGTTTTGTGGCCGCGGATCCGCTCCCGATGTCCACTATATAGAAAATTAAAGTTCATAGGAGTTGTTATGCGGGGGTTATGGACACAAACCTACCATCACATGATTTTGGGGGCAAATGTCTTGCAAACGGTGTTTCTCAGGTGACGATCGATATGAAAGTTTTGCAAACAAACTTTCAACCAACACGACTTACATCGGGCTGAAAACTTACGGCCGCCCAGTGGACAGACACCTGTGCACACGGGGTAGATGTAAGTGAGTGAGTGAGTGAGTGAGTGAGAGAGAGAGAGAGAGAGAGAGAGATTATTTTGTTGAAACGATTAATACAGATATGAGTTCGACGAGTAATGAAATGCAAACACAAGTGAACAGCACTGACCGGTTTTGTAGCAAAAATATTGTTTCGGTTGTTTGAGAAATTGTGCCAAAAAGTTATAACAAGACAAACAACTGTTGGGAAGAATAACCATATTATCAGTAAATCACGTGACAATAACCAATTAACCACATTATGATAAATACCTAAATACCCCGTAATTTGTCGTAACTTTTGCAAAAAACTTTGTCTCCGAGCAAACGACACACGTAATTGTCCCTGGTTGTCCTGTCCTATATGCATAGATAAAAACAGTATAGTGTCGTTATTATATCACAAAATAATTGTATACTAACTTCGGCTTATTCTCGGGTTGGGAACCAATGGAGTCGGTTGTCTGATCCACACAATTGTGAACATTCATGTGTTGTGCGAGCATTTCATTAGTGGTAAACTCTTGACCACAGTCTACCCGTCGGCACCGGAATTGGTGTTTGTCTTCTAAGCCATTAATCAATGGCCGGCTGTGAGCCTCCAATAGATGTCTGTTTCGTTTGGCCAACACTGAGTGCGACGAGAGATGTATTTTCAAATAGTGATTATTCATGGCTTTGTATTGACAGCCATTGTGTGGACAATCATATGATTTGCTTGAATAATGTGTCAATTGATGTACATTTAAGTGGGATTTTGTTTTATAGGCTTTACCACAGCCCTCATGAGTGCACACGTGATGTCTTGAGGTATGAACGTTACACAAATGGGTGGCAAATTGACTGTCCGTTTCATAACTCTTGTGGCAATCATTTATGGGACAAATGAATGTATTTGTCGTCAAATTAAAGCATTTCTCTCTTTCGGACTTATTTTGCTGCAAGAATTCAGTCATCGATTCATTTGATTTCATTTCCATCGAGTCTTTACTACTCTTCCCACTCATGTCTTTGTTTACCATCTCTTGTGATGATTGAGACGTCGATGACTTTGAAGTGCTGTTCACTTGTGTTTGCATTTCATTACTCGTCGAACTCATATCTGTATTAATCGTTTCAACAAAATATATTTCGGGTTCTTCTTTGATATCTATCCTCAACTCCAGACCATTGCTGTCATACAAGTTGTCAAACATGTCCTCATTTACTCTTTCGTTGTCACCCATCGTTTGCATCACTTCTTGTGTCTCTGTTTTCCCCTTCCATTCAAACCATTGTTTTCCTCTGCGATAGCTATGCGTCCGTCGGTTGTGAACCGACACCCGATGTCTCAGGCGTTGAGATAACGTATGAAAAATTTCATTACAGCCGTCGGCCCCGCACTCAACACGCGAATCGTGTGTCAAACGATGGGAAATCAACTCATACTCGGACTTAAAACTCATCCTACAGTCACCGACAGGACATGTGTTCACTCTATCTGTCCTGACTGTTGAGTGTGTCTGCATATGTAATGTCAATAACCGATTGGAATCGCATTCATATTGACAGCCGTTATAATAGCATTGAAATGATTTAATAATATTATGTGCTTTTTTCATATGTATTTTCCACTTCCTATGAATAGAGTATTGAGAATAACATCCTTTGACATCACATTTGAAAACTCCGTCGACTGAATGTGTCCTCACATGTAATGTCAAAAACTTATTGTTAATCCCTTTATATTGACATCCATTGTGTGGACAATGAAATGATTTGACTATTTTGTGCGTTAATAGATGTTTTTGTAAACCACCCTTTGTTTTATAGGCTTTACCACAGCCCTCATGAGTGCAGTTATATTTTCTTGGTGTATGAGTTATCCGAAAATGGGTCGCAAAGTTAACGTCTTTTTCAAAACTCTTGTGGCACTTATTTATGGGACAAATGAATGCATTGAGAGTTAAATTAAAACATTTCTCTCTTTCGGACTTATTTTGTCGCAAGAATTGAGACAACATATCATTTGATGTCATTTCCATCGAGTCTTCACTACTTTCTTCATTCGAGTCTATGTTTACCATCTCTTGTAATGATTGAGACGTCGATGGCTTTGAAGTGCTGTTCACTTGTGTTTGCATTTCTGTATTCATTAAACCGATTGAAGTTTTATTAACTCTTTTTAAGTGCCGCTTCAGATGACGGTTCAAAAACTTCTTGTATTTACCACTATATTGACAATCACTGTACGGACAATGGTATGCATTCAGGGGTTTGTGAGATAATAAATGCCGCTTCAAATCACTGGTGGTCTCAAAGGCTTGACCACAACCTACAAGAGTGCACTCGTGTTCACACTTCTTGTGGCACTTATTTTGGGCCAACAATTCAGACATCAATTGCATCGAGTCTTCACTACTCTTTCCAATCACTTCTACAGTGGATTTCATCAGTGGTTGCGATTCAATGGCCACTCTATCCGTGCGATCTATTGGTGTCCTCTTCCTATAGATATTGTGCCGTCTCTTCAGATGTGCTCTCAAATAGTGATTACTAATGCATTTGTATTGACAGTCATTTTGTGGACAATGAAATGATTTGACGGTATTGTGAGTCAATTGATGTGTAGTTAAGTTGCACTTAACCCTAAATGCTTGACCACAGCCCTCATGAGTGCACACGTATTGTTTTAATCTATGAAATCTAATCAAATGGGCGACAAAGTATGCGTCCGTTGGATAACTCTTGTGGCACTTATTTATGGGACAAATGAATCCATTTTTGGTTAAATCAAAACATTTTTTTCTTTCGGACTTATTTTTTCTCAAGAATTGAGACATCGATTGCTTTGATGTCATTTCCATCGAGTCTTCACTACTCTTTCCATTTATATCTTTGTTTACCATCTCTTGTGATAATTGAGATGTCGATGGCTTTGAATACGGGAATAGTGTTTGCATTTCTATATTCATCGGTTCCACACAATTATCTTCTTCTTTGATAACTGATCCCAACTCCAGACCATTGCTGTCATACGAGTTGTCAAACATGTCTTCATTCACGCCATCGTTGTTATCATCAATACTTTGATTCACTTCTTGTGTTTCATCCGTTGGTCTAATTTGGTCTACAAATTCAGTCTTCATGTGATGTCCAACCGATCCATACGTTTCATCACTCAATTGATCCAATGATTGACACAATAGCCAAAAGTCTTGATTGTCTTCTCCATCAATGATTGTCTTATATTTTGAGTGAATTTTAATTAAATGTGTTTTCAATTCATTTAAACATTTGTTTCCAAACAATAACTCATTTAAAAGTCGTTTGTTTTCAACCATTAATTCGTCCAAAATATCGTTAATATTAATAATTGAATCCATAATTCAATTCAAAACTAATTCACAATTAATTTGAATCCAAATTAAGTGCAAAACTAAACAACAATTGAATCACAAAAATGTAAACAAAACTCAAGCCATAAGAGAAGTGAAGGGATTGTCTCTGATTTACGTCAACATTTTTACATACCTTTTACAAATAAATATAAAGCTATTATAAAGTAGTTATAAACCAAATATTTATTTATTAAAACTTTAAAATTATATCAAATAATTGAAATACAAATTTATTAAACTTTTAATACATTAAATAAATATTAATTCTCGTTATAAATACAATGTTTTTCTATACTTTTAAGTGAAAATATATTCAAAACTATTTATTCTGTAATAAAACTATTCGTAAATATGTGTCCATCGATTGTCACTCAATTAGACCATTGAATGCCATTAATATCACTCGTGAGTCGGTGTACAACACTTCCCACTAAAGCATTGACACCCGAAAGTCATTAAAAGCCAATACAAGTGAACAATCAATGCGTTGAGTGAGTCTTCATTAGACAAAACCTCATGTGTTGTTCAAACCCACGATTAGTGACCGCTTTATATAGACAGCCATTGTATGGACAATGAATTGGTTCGACGGGTTTATGAGTCAATTGATGGCTACTTAATGTGTGCTTTGTCTTAAAGCCTTTACCACAGCCCTCATGAGTGCACACGTATTGTCTTAATACATGAGTTTTCCTCAAGTGCTGCAGAAATGTGCGGTCATTTTGATAACTTTTGTGGCAATCATTTATGGGACAAATGAATGTATTTGTCGACAATTCAAAGCATTTTTCTCGTTCGGTCTTATTTTGTATCAAGAATTGAGACACCGTTTCATTTGATGGTATTTTCATCGAGTCTTCACTATTATTTTCAATGATGTCTTTGTTTGTCATCCCTTTTGGTTGACTTGTTTTATGTGTTAATGAATGTCGCGCTAAACCAAGGGTTGTATTAAACGCTTTATAGCAGTCTTTGTATTTACAAATGTATTTATTTTTAGTGTGAATTGTCTTCAAGTGGTCCCGAAACTGACCACTTGTTGGGTAACTCTCGCGGCACTCATTCACCGGACAATTGAATGTATTTGACGTAAAACTAAAATATTTCAATCTTTCGGATCTGTTTTGTATCAATAATTCAGCCAATGATAGCTTTGATGTCTTATTATTGATGTTTTTATTACTCTTTTTATTTATATCTTCGTTTACCACAATTTTTGCTGATGATTGAGATGTCGATGGCTTTGAAGTTGTGGTCAATTGTGTTTGCATTCCTGTATTCATTAAACTATTTTGTTTATTAATCGATTCCACAAAATATATTTCGGGTTCTTCTTTGATATCTGTCCTCAACTTCAGACCATTGCTGTCATACGAGTTGTCAAACATGTCTTCATTTACTGCTTCTTTGTTGTCATTAATTGTTTGCATCACTTCTTGTGACTCTGTTTTCCCCTTCCATTCAAACCATTGTTTTCCTCTGCGATAGCTATACGTCCGTCGGTTGTGAACCGACACCCGATGTCTCAGGCGTTGGGAAAACGTATAAAACATTTCATTACAGCCTTTGGTCCCACACGTGATGGCCGGTCCGGATCCGTGTGTCAAACGGTGGACATTCAACTCATTCTCCGACTTAAATTCAATCTTACAATCACTGACAGGACATCTGTTCACTCTATCTGTTGAGTGTGTCTTCAGATGTGATGTCAATAACTTATTGTTAACGCATTTATATTGACAGCCATTACGTGGACAACGAAAGGGCTGTTTTGGATGTCTCTTCAGATGTAGTTTCAAATTCCTATCACTACTGGTATTGAATTGACACCAATTGTGCGGACATTGAAATGACTTAATCTTGTTATGACTTATCCAATGTATAGTTAAGTTGCCTTTCAATGTAAACGCTTTGCCACAGTCTTCGTAATGACAGAAATATTGTCTTTTGCTGTGAACGGCAGCCAAATGTCTGTAAAACTTGTCGTCGTTTTCAAAACTCTTTTGACACGTATTTATGGGACAAATGAAAGCATTTTTAGTCAAATCAAAGCATTTCTTTCTTTCGGACTTATTTTGTCGCAAATATTCAGACATCGATTGCATTTCCATCGAGTCTTCAGTACTGTTTACCATCTCTTTTGGTCCACTTGTTCTGTGGATCAATGAATGTCGCGCTAAACCATTGGTTGTATTAAACGCTTTATAACAATCTTTGGATTTACAGATGTATAGGTTTTTGGCGTGAATTGTCTTCAAGTGGTCCCTAAACTGACCACTCGTTGGGTAACTCTCGCGGCACTCATTCACCGGACAATTGAATGTATTTGTCGTAAAAC